CTGAACTTCCCTGGCCTCCAGCTTCTGGAAGGTGGGGCTGACTGATAAGACCCTGACCACCTTCATCGCCCTCCTGCCTCTCTGCTCATCCACGCTCAGGTCAGCTTATGGGGGGGGGTCCCAGCCTGGGCAACCTTGCTGGGTGGGCGGTCGGAGGGCAGCAGTGTGGCAATGAAGTGGGCCTGGCCTGGCACCTCTGTGCAAACAGGGCTTCGTCAGTGTCTGTCGGAGCATGAAGCTCCCAACTGACAAGAAGCAGGGTCCCCTTTGCGCCCACACCAGTGCCGGAAGAGGCCGACCTTTGGAGGTTCAATCCCTCTCCTCTCCACGGTCCCATCACATCTACTCCCTAAGGGTTCTCTTTCTCTCCCTTTTTGGCAGCCTGGGCATATACTGTGGAGGTGCTGGTAAGGCCCAGTTCTGGGGACCAGTGGATGTCACAATGGTTACATCACTGGACTCACATGTAATCAACTGTGGTTCGCGTCTCAGACTTGGTGGCTTTAAACTCATGCCAGGTGCGTGTGCCTGTCCAAGATCCTGAGAGGAGAATGGAGGAGAAGGGGTTGCAGCGTGGCCATCCCCCCTGGGGGTGATTTCTTGCTTTCTGTCTCTCTGCCTCTGCCCTGCTGGTGAGCATGTGCCCTCAAAAAAAAAAAAAAAAAAAAAAAAATGAAGACCCAGTTCCAATCCTCTAGGGACACGGCAGTGTGGAACCAGTGGTGGAGGAATGACTCCATGCATGGAGGGAGTGGAGCAGAGACCTTCTGAGTGTAGGGCAAGAGGACTCCGAGGACTGCTGGGAGGAGGTGGTGCTGCTTAGGAACAGGCCAGGCCAGCGAAGTGGGAAAGGGCATTCTGGTATAGGAGGGTGCAGGAACAAGGTGTGAGGTAGCCTCAGTACAAGTGTGGTTCAGTGTGGAAAGGACAGAGCTGACCAGCTTGTGGCTTAGTGGTTAATGTGGCTAGGCCCCACTGACTGAGTGGCTCTGAGTGTTTGGAGTCCCTGACCCGGCAGCTTGAAAAACACACTGGGCGCGTATGCGCATGCTCAAAATCTCCAGACAGGCAAAATGGAGGAGACTGAAGCATGGCCATCCACCATGGTGGGATGCTATCTCACTTTCCGTGTCTCTTTCTGTTGAGTGCACACGCCCTTTGACCAAAAAAAAAAAAAAAGGGGGTGTGTGTGGGAGGGAACAAAGCTATTGTCACCTGCCAGCTTTCTAGGACGCCACCGCATCATGGATGTTTCTACTTCACAGACTGTTCCCCTGCGTGCACACACTGGCCTGGCTTCCGGTGGATGGAATGGACACTCCCTGAGGGCAGGGGCTGTGTCTAGCAAGCGGTGCCCAGTGCTCTTTGTACAGGACCCCGTGAAGCATATTTCTTTCTACCATGGGAATTAGAAACAACTTAGCTAACAGGAAAATATATGAATTTACCTTATAATATGTAAAAATTAGTCATACAACAGATTTTTTTTTTTTGCCATAGGTCATGTGTGCTTGTCAGAGAGAGCGAGCGAGAAATCATCCCCCAGAGGGATGGCCATGCCGCAATCCCTCCTCCTCCATTCTCCTCTTAGGATTTTGGGCAGGCGTGCGTACACACACACACACACACACATACGCACACACGCACACACACACCCTTCATGTGTTTTCAAGTCATTGGGTCAGTCATGTGGGATCCAGCACCTTAACCTCCCTGCTACCAGCTGGCCCTTAACATGAAAATAATTTCAGACGGATGTCCACAGTGGCTAGCAGATGGTGTAGTGGTTACATCCTTGGACTCCCACACGGCCGGCTGCAGTTCTGATCCCAGGCCTGGTGGCTTACACATCACGGTGGGTGCATGTGCGTGCATGGCCAGGGTCCTAGGAAAAGAATGGAGAAGGGACTGCGGCATGGCCATCCCCAACCCCCGAGGTGATTTCTTGTTTTCCCTCTCACTGTCTCTGTCTCTGTCTCTGTCTCAGGCAAGCTCACACACCCTAAGGCAAACACCTCTTAAAAAAAGATGAATGGGAGCCGGCAGGTGGCGTGGTGGTTAAAGGCGCTGGACTCCCATATGGCTGACCGTGGTTCAAGTCCTGAATCTGGTGGCTTGCTTTCTCACTTTCCCCCTCTCTGTCTATCTGATCAAGCTGGAAAGTAACAATAATAATAAATAAAGTTAAAATAAAATAATTATTTTAAAAAAATGAATGTACTGAGGCCGACAGGTAGCATGCTGATTAAAGTTGCTAGATTCCCACATGGCTGACCATGGTTTGAGTCCCGGACCTGGTGGCTTGCTTTCTCACTTTCCCTTTCTCTCTTTCTCAGTCTCTTTCTGGTCAAATTAAAAAAATAATGATAATAACAAATGGAATAAAAAAATAAAACTTTTTTAAAAAAAGAATGTACACAGATTTATATGAAAGATAGGCAGTCTGAAAGATTGAGAAAATAATTCAGGAGAAAATTTTTAAATAGAGATGTTTACAACCATACTTCTATTTATTTTTAATTGCCGGAGGGCACATGCCAGAAACAGAGGGAGAGCAGGAACGTGAGACTGGGAGAAAGTACCCCGCAATGGGGCAGAAATGACTTTTTTAAGGTTTTTGTCATGGGTGTGTGTGCCACCAGAGAGACAGTGAGAAATAAGCCCCCAGGGATTTGGCCACACTACAATCTCTTCTCTATTCTCCACTTGGGATTTTGGGCATGTACACACATGTGCCTGGTATGATTTTTCAAGCTGCCAGGTCCAGGACTTGAACTGTGGTCAGCCATATGGGAGTCCAGCACCTTATCCACCATGCCACCTGCTGGCCCAGAGGCAGAAATTTTTAAAATATTTTTTCTTTTCTATTCAATGGTAGAGCGTGGGTGCATATGAGGGACACAGAGAGAGGAGCACCTTCCACAGGGTCTATCACACCTCGATCCTCTTCCTCCAGCCCTCCAGCCCTTTGGACCCTGGGTACTCACCCATGTGCCTGGTATGTTTCAGGCTGATCAAGCCTGGGATTTGAACCATGATCATCATGTGGGATCCAACCTCTTTAAAGCAGCACATCACCACAGTGCCACAGAACCCGCACAATTAGTTCAATTTTTGTTGTGACTTGGGAAAACCCCTCCATTCTCTCAGCACTGTTAGAGAAGCCATTGCCTTGGGAAGGGGTTATATCATAGTTATCTACTGCTGCGTAACAAATTAGCCCCCAAAATTGGTGGCTTAACAGAGCACATCTTTGTTACCTGTTTCTGTGAGATGGTCTGAGTGTAGGTGAGCAGGGTGCTTCAGGCTTAGGGTCGCTCTGGAGGTAGTCATAGAGCTGCCTGGGCTGCAGTCATCTCGTGGGTCGACTGGGACCAAGGATCTGCTTCTAAGCTCACTTACGGGGTCATCATCACTTATGTACCCTCTCAGGAGGCCCTCTGGGTGTTCTTACAACATGGCAGCCGGCCGTCTGAGAGAGGGCAAGAGAGCACCCCAGATGGGAGCCATGGTCCTTGTAACCTACACCTGGAAGTGGGTGCTACCACCTTTTTTCTTTTCATTTTTTTAAAAAAGAGATTTTTTGCGATAGGGCGCATGCCAGTGCTGAAGGGACAGAGAGACAGAAAGCAAGAAATCACTCCCCAGGGGATGGCCACGCCACAACCCCTTCTCCTCCATTCTCCCCTCAGGATTTTGGGCTTGCATGCACTTGGCGTGAGTTCTAAGCCGCTAGATCTGGAACTTGAACTGTGGTCCACTACATAGGAATTCAGCAATGCAACCATTATGCCATTTGCTGGTCCCCCTATTTTTTTTTAAAATCTATTTGTTTATTTTATTTGTTGCGATTTTCAAGCAGGAACCTCGGTCTACCATGTGAGAATCCAGAGCCTTAACCACCAGCCCACCTTGGTGCTCGCTGCCTTCACTGTTCCATGTTCTGTTCATTAGACTGCAGCAGGTGCAGCCCACGTTCAAGGGGAGGAGCCTCCACAGGGTCGGGACGGAGGCCGTGGAGATTATTGAGGCATCTTAGGGGCCAGCTTACCACAGGTCACTAACTTTGAGGAGTGTCTCCGCATGGCCACACTTTTGCTTTTTAGTGTGGAGGACTGTCATGTACATTTCCCGTATTGGAGCGGCTATCCTTCAACTCTTTCCTAGGTGCTCCCTTACCTGGCCTCAGTGGTACCCCTTGGTTCTCATGTGTCTTCTACCCTCAGGAAGGTGTCTCTGGAGGGGAACCCACTGCCAGAGCAGTCCTATCACAAGCTCATGGCTTTGGATAGCACGTGAGACTCCTTGTGCCCCCTCACCCCGGGGCGGTACCCCATCCCAAGCCATCTTCATTCCCCGCCCTTGTTCCTCTAGCACCTCCCATGGGCTCTCAACTCCAGCCCCTCCACCCCAGGCCACACTACCCCCTCCATGCCCCCAGTGCCAGATTCCAGCACCCCTTGTTTCTGGTGACCCTCGGTCTCCCTCGGGCTGCCCCAGGATCGCGCACTTATCTCTGCGGAACAACGGCATCGATGACTACGGGGCGCGGCTCCTCGGCCAGGCGCTATCCACGCTGAACAGCTGCAATCGGACCCTAGTGTCGCTCAATCTGGGCTTCAACCACATCGGGGACGAGGGCGCGGGCTACATCGCGGATGTAAGTGCGCGGCGCTGGGGGACCCAGCGGGAGCGGAGCCGGCT